CCATGTTACCGATGAGGAAACTGCGTCAGGGAACTAGCCCAAGGTCACATATCCAGGAGGTGGGTGGTGCCAGGATCTGAGCCCAGGCAGCCTGGGCAGCAACACTGCGCTAAGCTGCTTGGCCCTTAGTGGGGCTGGGCAGAGGACAGGAAGAGAGATGCCCAGCAGAGCAGGCATGGAGAGTGGCGGCCACAGGCCGTTCCACGCTATCCCAGGACCAAGCAGGAGGCTGTGCACTGGGGAGGCAGGGCGCACACAATGCTTTGTGAAACTGGATTCCCTAGGCCTGGGGGAAAAAAAAACAACCTTTTAGACACTCAATTCCAAGCCTAACTTCTCAGGTCCTGCCTGTCCTGAACCCTTGGTAACATGTTTTACAATGTCTTTACCCCTGCCATTTACTCTTCTCCTGGCAGCCAGAATGAACCTCTTAAAACCAAATTCATGCCACCCTTCTGCTCAAAATCCCCAGTGGTTCCTCACCTCACACAGGATCAAGGCCAGAGTCCTGACAGCAGCCTTCCAGGGCCCTGCACAGCCACATCTGTCTCCTTGCTGTTGCCCCAACACGATGGACGCTTTCCTGCCCCAGGGCCTTTGCACCTATGTCTCTCTCTGCCTGGAATGTACTTCCCCCGTGAATGCTGGGCTCAGTCCTCATCCCCATCAGATTCGTGTTCAAATGTCTCCTTCCTGGTGATGCAATACTCCCTCTGGCTCGCCAATCCTCCCTGCTTTTCCCCAGAGCACTTTCTATCACAGGACAGACCACCTGTCTTACGTAGGTATAACGTCTCCGCCACTCCCACCAGAACAGTGGCTCCGCAGGCCGGTGATCCCGTCTGCTTTGTTCGCGGCTGCACGTCCAGCACCAGGTCAGACTCTGGCACTCAGCAGGTGCTTAGCTAAGTGTTTGCAGCACGAATGACCCAGCCTGGGTTTTTCCTCTTCCTCCCACCCCGACAATCTCCCCATCTGCTCTATCCTGACCACCTGTTAGGCAATGGGTACGCACAGCCAACAAATGAGTCCCTCAGCCTCTTCTATCCCGGGTTTCCTCATCTTCAAGTGAGATCGATGGACTAGATTATCTATAGGGACCTTCCAGTCTTCAACTGACCAAAAAGGCACAATTCTTCATTACAGCAAGCCCGTAGTTGCATTTACTTGATTATAAAAACCGCATTTCCCTTCGAATTTTCCACAGCCAAGGCCCCCGCAGCCCGCATGCCCCTGAGAACGTGAGTGACATCTGGCTGGAGCTGGGCTCCGTGACTTGTGACCTGCTCACCAGGTCAGCATTAAGCTCAAGTGCTGGGATTGCTGGTCTTGTAAAATCAACCTGGGCTGGGTTACAGGGAAGTAAACCAAACCACATTCGGGCGTCCCTTAGGATCAGAAACACCACCTCTCCTTGTCCCCTTCCATTTAACACTAATTCCTTAGCAGCCAGACCTAAGGAATTAGTTGGTTTTGGGGTTTAGCCAGAACCCTTCTGGAGAGGTAACAAAATTAAGTTTTCTGGGCCAAAAAGTAGGTGCTGGGACGTAAGCAGAACCCAGCGCATAATAGCGTGGGCGGTGGCACGACTGGGGCTGAGAGTGGAAGCCCAGGTCGGAGGGTCGCGGGTCCGTCAAGGTCGTTCCTGACCAGGGCCAGCTGGCCTCCCTCTGACTGCAGGAAGCCTCAGGCCTTTGCCCCCGCCCCCACCTGAAAGAGGGGCTAAGTGAGTCTAACACTCCACAAAGTGTCTACAGGTCTCAACCCCACCTGGCCGACCTGACCCAAGGCCAGGGTCGAATTCACCAGCATCAGCGAAGGCCCATGTTGACATTCTCTTGATGTTTAATGCATAAGTCGCTCCTGAGTGAATGCTGGGTCACTATATAACATTACTGCTTTGGTCTTTCAAAGGTACTCTATTAGCTTTAATGACAGAATCAATATAAACTCACTTGATAGCTCCTTTGGAGTCCCTGCCTTCTTGACAAGCCTCCAGCCTCTGGCACAGCCCCTGGCCCCTAACGGTCTCCGCTGCCACCTGTTAGCCAATCACGTCATAACCAAGCAGTGAAGGGCATGGCGGTGAAGCCCAGGCACCGGAGGAGCCAGACCCAGGAATGTCCTGGCTGTGCGGCTCACTTCCCACCGGGCAGCCTGAGCCCCGTGAACCCCCCCGTGCCTCGGCTTCCTCGTCTGTGAAGTGAGAGCAACAAGAGTACCTCCCTCTCAGGGTTGTTATGAAGATTACATGAATTAATAGTAAGTTTGTATATGGAAGTCACTTAGCCCACAGCCTGACAGGTAAGTGCTGACTGCATGATAGTCATTATTACTAGAAATTTCTTCCAGTTACACACGATCCTAAGGTTTGGACTGGTCCTTCCTGGTGTGTATTCGGGCAACCTGGTAATAATTCTGGGCTCTGTAACTGAGTACATTCAAGCCTAGGCCATTCAGGGAGAGCCAGGGGATGGCGCGCATGCCACCAGCCCGCTCCCCTGCCTGGGACAGGCATCTCTCACCTGTCTCAGCACTCCTCTCCCTCCCCCACTCTGAAGCCCAGGGCTGCTAAGACTCAAGACAGAGCCTGCAGCCGCCGCTGTGACTACAGAGGAACCCACCTGCTGTCCTCTGATCAGCAGGCAGATATGCTGGTGCGGGACAGGTTCCTGCACGAAGGCAAGGACCGCATCTGCCTGAGTCATCAGAAACAGACGGTGCTTCGTCTGTTCACTGCTGTAGACCCGGCACTTTGGACAGTGCCCGCCACGCAGCAGACACTCACATGTCCACCGAATGAACAGACCAGTCTCAAATTCATCTGAGTCCACAGCACACGGCACTGGGCCTAACCTAGCAGGTGCTTGATGAAAGTGGGAGGATGGTAGGAGAGCCTTGCGAGACCCTCACTTGAGCCCACTATTTCTGAGTGGAGAAAGCACCCAGCTTTGGTAGGCTCAAGGCCTGACACAGCTACTTACTCATCACGTGACCCTGAGCAGGGCCTTTCCTCCCCATGTGTTCAACAAGAGGGAGGGGCCAGCCAAAGCCCCAGACCCCTTCCAGCCCTGACTTTCCAGGAAGCACTTCCAGGTACCTCTCATCTCAAGGCTCCCACTGCCCCGCAGGCCACAGCTGCCTCCACTGTCCTCAGGCAAAATCCTCTTCTGGGGCACAGGAGGGAAACACGGGTGCTGGGCAGCTGCTGGTCAGGACACAGGTCAGCACCTGTGTTCACAGGCCCGAGCCCAGCACCCACTGCTCTCTTCCAGCCCACACGCCCGATCCCTACATCACCCCCACGTCTCCTCATCTCGCCCAGCCCACAGACACCCACTGAGCACCTGCTATCGGCCAGCCCCTTGCAGTGAACAAGACAGGATGACCCTTGCCCACGGAGCTGGCCCCAGAGAGGCAGAGGAAAGTACACAAATGAGTGAAATATTTAAAGAGGGCAAACAGGCCACGGGCCCTTGGAGGAGGAGGTCAGGGAAGGCTTCTCTGGGGAAGGAGGACAGAATTCAGACCTGAAGGATGAAAGGACCCTAATTACGGAAAGATCAGAGGGAAGAGCACTCCAGGCAAAGGAACAGCAGCTGCACGGGCTCTTGAGGCCAGGGGCTGGCAAACCACGGCCGTCTGTGTGGTTCTGTATTATCTGCAGCACCTTCTGCATTACGTGGGCAAGGCTGAGAGGCTCCCACAGAGACCATGGCCTACTATCTGACCTTTCACAGGTCAACCTGGCTGACCCCGGGTTGGGTATTAGAGAACTAGAGAGAAGGTCAGGAGGCCAACAGACCAAGGGGCGGGGAGACTGACTGGGGTGGGGGGACGGGGGTTGGGTTGTGTGGGTCACAGTGACCTGCAGCCTATGTCTCGGCCCCTACTCTACCTGCCTCCACGCCACCCTGCCAACAGTTGCCAGGGCGATCATCCTGAAACATGCGCTCTTCTTCTGCTCAAAGAACCTGAACAGCTCCCAGGTGTTCCCAGGCCCGTCCCAAGAAACTCTGGCTTTGTGGGATGGACCTCAATAAAAGGGTTCCATGGTTACGGAAGTTTGAGAAGCTTGGCATCTCTCTCTCGGATGTTTTCACGTACACGCATTAGCACAAGAAAGGCCCTGGAAAGTTCCACAGGGAAGAAATTGGTTGAGTCTGCTTAATCCACTGTCCTTCAAACTTATTTGGCCACAGAACCCCTTTTTCCCACAAAAATCTATTAACTTTAAAAAATATAGTATTCCATGGGCTAAAAGAGCAAACTCCTCGGCTTGATCCCAACCGCAGTAGGCTGCAGCCCTAGAGCCCGCTCCAGATGACGTGCGTGGCCTGCACAGCCGTCTCTCCCTGGACTTCTTCTTGCCTTCAGTGCCCACGTGAGGGGGCAGCCGCGGCAGCACCAACGTTTACCACCGTGACAGATATGCAGTTTGTGGGCTCGTCCAGCACCTCTTCCCGCTTTCTTTGGTACGGAGCTCAGCTTTCGTCCGGGCACGACCCCTCCCATCTCCTGCCCGCTCCAAGGGTGAGGACACACCCCTGGCCTGGCTCAGCATCCGGACAGTCCACTCACCAGCTTTGCAGTGACTGGTTCAGGGGAATAAGCAAGACCAGGACTCAAGCCAGGCCACTGGATTCCAGACTAGGATGGGACCGGCTCCCCTGGAGTTCATAACACCGGAGATGAGACAACATTCAAGCCCAGGTCTTTCTGCCCGGTCCTGTGTTTCACCCCGAAGTTCCCCCCACCTTGGGCAGGAGCAGCCAAAGGCCAGTTTGGGATTAAGTCATCCTTGGTTCCATCACAGGTGCCCACAGAAGATACTGGGAGGGCTGGGAAGTGCCGCCCACAACTGCACATCCTCCAGGGAAGTAGGGAAACTTCTCAGCAAAGGGGGCCGGCCTGAACCGCCCATCATTTTGGGTGGAAGGGGAGGACCAGGGGCAGGTGGCTGTTAGTTGCGAGGCCAGGGGTGGGGAAAGGGGACGTACCTGCTCGCCGTGCTTTTCCTTCCAGCCGCACTGGCTCCGTCAGCCTGCAAAAGAAACCCAAAGCACACCCATTAGCCAAGGGCAAAGACACAGATTCTACCCACTGCCCCTCAGTATCAGCCTTCCCTCGGACACATGGGTGGGCTGGCCCCGACCCCCTGCTCCTTCCCTCCAGGCTGGGAAAATCTGCTCCTGGTGGCAACAGGCAGCCAGCACACCCCCAGCCCAAATTTGCTTGGCCCTTTAAATCCAGCTGAGCACCCACTGCCAACACAAACCCAGCAACCACAGAGCCCTGGGGACTCGGTGGAAAGTAAGTAACCAGCTAAATCGGAGATTGAATTGCACCATTTTTATTTTCAGCTGGGATTTCCAATAAAACAGTAGCCACAGATTTATTCCTACCAATCAAGGAGGAAAATCCTATTATGTTAAAATATTCTGTCCCCCAACCCTCTGAGCAGGGGAGGCATGAGAATGGCTGTTCTTAATCTCTTTATTTGGGGATGGGGGGGTGGAGGAATAAGACTGGTCAAATGAAATTTCCAGAAATCATCGAATTCTGGTTCAGATGGAGACACTGAGGCCCTGGATGAGGAGGGCGTGGCCTGAAGTCTCATGAGGACTGAACAACAGATACTCGGGGACCCTGACTAGCCAGGCTAGTGCTGGGGGGTCCTTGATGTGGAGGTTGCTGACATAGGGGAATGCCCAGGTTTCTCCACCACCCCTGGTTGAAGACGCATTCCCTGGCTTTCTTTTTTTCTTACTGTTCAAGTACAGTTGTCTCCATTCCCCCCACTCCCCCCCACCCACACTCCTTAGCTTTGTGAAAACATTTAAATAACCGTGATCCTAGCTCAAATAATGTGGGTTCAATACCCTGGGGCACACATTTGTTCCCAAATTCAGAATCCTTCCGATCTTAGCAAGGTGATGTTGGCACGCGTGTCCTGTATTCGGAAACCGCCCTGGCGGGGTCTGGGGAGCCCCCAGTGCCCAAGCACACTGGTGTTTCTATAGAGAAACACAGGCAGTCAGCCCTACGTGCGATAAATGAAGGTGGCGACCAGCCTCGTTTCCCTTTGGTCAAGTTCTGCCACTTCAACAGTTACAAGAACTCTTGTTTGTTGTTGTTGTTTCCAAGCTTTTCCAATTCCAGGACTGTGGCTGAAGGATTGAGGACGTAAAATAAACACAGCAAGCAGCTACCTTTTGACGAGTGCTCACGGGAAGTTGCAAACTGGCAAAACCAGATGGCGGACTTGGATCCAAAGAGTAAATATATCAAAATAAAGGGATTTCACCTCCCCCCATTTCAGCTGCTCTTTAAAAACCAGTTAATCCGGCAACACACAGCTCCACGTCCCCACAGTCCGCTAGGGCTGATACACCTGATTCTCCAGTCCCCACCCCTCCTTCCCGCCTGATTCTCTGTCCTCCAGCTTTGTCCTGTGGGCACCCAGACTCACTCCCCCGAAGACCTTCCCAACAGGTGCTAGTGTAGAACATTAAATGCCTCTTATGTCACCCTCTCAGGAGGTCCCCCGACACATCCCATTTTACAGGTGAGGCACAGAGGGTCTGTAAGTCATTCATCCAACACCCCACAGCTACAAGCCCAGGTCTGGGCCACTCCAGTGCCCACAGCCCTCAGCTCGGTAGTGTTTTATCTCCCGCCAAGATTCAGGAGGGCCAATAGGGAAAGGGAGTGAGCTCCTCCCGCCCCTGTTGCCCACGCAAGGAAAGCGGGAAGGGGAAGGACAAGTAGGGAGGTAGAAATGCAAGGCCTGGGTGGGAGAAATTAATGGCATGCCGCTGTATTATTTCAGTAGGAGAAACAAAGCAGAAAATGGTTTGCATATCATTTCACTGCGAGCAAAAGAACAGGATCAATTACAGCCCCTCTCCGACATCTTGCATTCCTCAAAACTTGTCTGGAGAGCGAGCGGGGAGACCGCGTTCTCCAGTCCACACGGTAAGAGGCCCACGGGGTGGGGGGGGGGCGAAACTCTGCCCCAGAGAGCTTAAAAACCTGTAAAATCCCAAATGACCTCTCACTTTCCAGACTGAACTCTGAGCACCTATCTCCGGTATTTCATACATCACTATAATGTAATCTTTTTTGTCCTTTTCCGTCCTTCATAACTGCATACAGAGCTGACCGGTTCAAGTACAGTGGTCATGGGACTGGGTGGGGAAGAAGATTCTCAGTTTTGGGCGCATCTGATCATCCCCAGTTGTGTTTCCTTTTTATGATGCTTATGATACTGCTAGCAACACCCATTTGTTTTCCACACATTTCTATAAAATAAAGACAAAATGCTGAACATGTTCAAAGAGTTGCCCAAACAAATGCCTCAGCAGAGACTCAGGCACGGGTGGGAAGGAACCTCGGAGGAGGAGCGCTGAGAGGTGTCTGTCTCACCCCAGCGGGGTGCGAAACGTCCGTTTAGGAGCTGACGGATGACGAGCACTAGAGGGGATGTCAAAGGCAGCATGCGTCAACGTCACAGCACCTGGACCTGAGTCTAGACCCACCGTAATGACAGGGAACTGCCACTTGGGCCCTCCCAGCCCCAGCGCAGGCCCACAGTGCTGAAGGCGCCAGCTCTCAGTGGTGGAGACCCCTCAGGGGCCAGGCCAGCGCGGTGGGTGTCCTCACCAATCAATAGATCATAGCGGTGGACCACCACTGTCCGGATTCAGTTCTGCCGCCGACAAAGCCATTTTCCTAGGCCCAAAGCAATTTCATGTGATCTAACCTGAACCACAAACTCGCCTTTACCCAGTGGAATCTCACGTGCTCTCAATTTGAATGGAAGTGCAAGAACTCAGGGTTTAGAGTCAGGGGTCTGTGTTGGAGTCCTGGTTCTGCCACTTTCTAGCTGTACATTCCAAGGCAAGTCACTGATACTTGCCAGGAGCACACTCAGTCTCCTCATCTGCAAAATGGCAACAGCAATCCCAGGACCTCCCTCGTGGGCTGGCATGAGACTTAAACAAGATAACTTAAACGCAGTAATGCATGTCAAAGTACTGCGGGTGGGCTCAGCTGTAATAATCATCATCATGAACAACCCTAGATACAGCTACAAAGGCCATCATGTATGGGCTCCAGGAAACTGAAGCACAGAGAAACCGAGTGACTTGGATAAGACTGCACAGGAGGTGGGCAAACAAGCAGCAGGGCTGGGCTGAACAGCACCAGGGGGTCCTCCCCGCCTGTCTCCAGCCTGATCTGAACCCCATGCTGCAAGTCAGCACCTCACGAGTGTCCACCAGACCCTCCCTCAGCCCTGAGATCTTGTCCCAAGGGCCGGCGACCACGACATTGAATACAGCAATGCAGGCAAAGTACTAAGCGCAGGCCAGGTATGTATAGTAATCGCTTAAGTAGTGGAAACCCTCCCGCTGCTGCCACCACTGGGCCGTGCGCTCCTAAGAGGGCAGGCAGCTTCCTGCCCGGGTTCTGCCTGGGTCTCACCTTAAGCCTTGGGCAAACTCCTTCCTTTCCCTGGACCTGCACCTCTGCATAGGCAGAAACAGGGTCAGGAGCATGACAGTTGAATCAGACCCTCTCCACCTTCTACTTCCACCTCTGCCCTTCTACGCGGAGTTGACCCAAACCCCTCCATGGCAAATGAAACGTGCTGGGGGGCAGGGGGCCACGAGAGGACAGACCCTCCTGCTCACTCTCACAGAGGCTGGAGGAAAGGTCTCCAAGCCCCCAGCTCACCATTAGAATACCTGCCCCCTTTCCCGGCCCCCTCCACTCCTCATACACTGCTTCTCCATAGGATCCGAGCAAGGCTATTTTTGGGTTCATCGGGCCCTCCTCTTCCCTCCCAAATGAATGTTAAGTTGTTCTTTTCCATTCTCTTATTAAGGATTTTCTTGGAAAGAAAATATTATTTCAAACCCAGAAATTTTATTTCTAAATTTGTGCAAATGTAAGTTGTAATACATTAGCTGCATTTCACATTTTGTGCAAATGGCAGAAACAGGCAATTCGTGTGCTACGGGATGGGGGCTGGCCAACGATTTCGATAAAATAAACCCTTTTTTAATTTAAATGCTAATGCACTGAATTAAAATTTAATAACTGAGGAAATTGAAAAGCCGAGCAGGAATATTGGAAATAAATCCAAGCAGAAACAGCTGAAATTAAAAATTCTAGAGAGTGGGAGGATAGCAGCTAAGCTGTCTTATATGATTACATTTTTTTTTTTCAGAATGAAGCAAAAAAAAAAAAATCCTATCTCTCGCTGGCTCTAGGGCAGTAAATCCACAGTGCTGTGATTTATTGCTCAATTTTCCTGAGGGAAAAAAGGCTTTCTTTCATGCTGAAATATTTCATAAATTTCAAGCCAGCATAAATTCTTAATTTAAAAGTTATGGAGGTCACATTTAGTGCACTGGTACGGTTCCAAAATCTTAAAGGAATAGCAGCGACCAGCAAAGAGGAGGGGTAGAATTTGCTTTTTTTTTTCTTTTTGGTTTTAATTCACAAGTTGAAATTTCATTATTAAAGATTCCTCCTGGATGGATGAAACCCAAGCATGCGGGGAACTGGTGTGTGTTTGGAAATGTGCTGCAAAAGATGAAGAGATAAAGATTTAATTCAATTATAAAAAGGCATTTTTTTTCTTTTAAGCCACTTGAGGAATTTCTGGTAAAAATTTCCTCCCTTCACTGCCCTGGAAGGGGGGAGGGTGGGGGAGGGTGGCCAATGTAATTGCTTCTCTTAGATCTCCAATCTTTTGTGCGCACTGATATATTCATTTGTTATACAGCTGTTCAGCGGCAGAAAGAATGCTGGGGCGCCCATAATTCTAAGCAAATCAATCAAAAATTAATGATTTGTCATGCTTGCACAATGGAGGAAAACAGCTCCTTGGGTCCTGGCTGCCTGATCTCAAAGAATGAAATGCCTTTCTTCGATAAGAGAGTCAAGCCAGAGGTTCGGGGAGGCTGAGGTGCCACTGCAAATGTGGGGGCTCGGGTCCCCCCCAAGCTCTGGGGGGATGGAGGGGACCAACAG